GTGTTGATTACAAGTCTCATCATGGGGAATAACTACATCCAGCTGCCCAGCCAGTCAAAACCAGGCCCAGCCAAGTTAGTGCTTAACCTTAACTACCACAGTGTCATCCCATGTCAACTTAGCAGCTGTACAGATCACCTTCATTGGGTGGCTCAAGTCTCCTAGTCAAACTGAGTGGTGAACTCACCTCCTTGGCCTGGCAGGCCCTATTCTTCTGCCACTTAGGCACAGTAGCACCACTACCTCCTCACTTTGGGGTAGTGGCTTGCTCTACCCCACTGGCCCTAATGAATGGCAAGCCCACCCTCCAGGATCAAGTGGGTGGTGATCTGACTCTTTCAAACTTGAGAGGCTGTGGTGATTCCATCACCAGAGGCCATAGTACTACAATTTGAGGCTGAGGCATCTCTGCTTCCCATTTCCTTGTTGTTTCAACTTCTGCTAATTAATGCATGAAAGCAACCCACTCCACCAGGAAGCCTCCTGCTGAAAGGCATTCAGCTTTCTCCTCTGTGGGCTGGTAAGCCTGTCACTCTATCTCATGGCAGTCTCTCAGCATTCTTGCCAGTGTCTGTCACTCTCTCTGCCACTCACGTTAAGAGCCTCAGTGCAGGGATCTTGGATCTAAGGGTGCACTCCATTCCTATTACCATATTTTAGGTGTCTTTCAGAGCAGCACCCCATTCTCTCTGTACCAGTTTCTGTTTTTGTCATGTAGTGCTGCTCTAACAGAAAATACAACAAATGGATGGCTTTAACAAACAGGGATTTTTTTTTTTTCTCTTACACTTTAGGAGGATAGAAGTCTTAGTTCAAAGTGACAGCTCTATGAACAGGGTGAAGACCCCTCAAACTTGGGGTTCAGCTCTGCCTCTTGCTATCAGCCCACTAAAGCTGGATACTTCTCCCAAATCACACAGCTGATGGCTGCTTAGGCTGACAAACCCAAGGTTAATAAGTAAAATGGAACTGTCCCAAGATTATTAAGCAAAACGGCAGGCCACTAGTTTAAGTCCAGAAACAGTCCCAAGATTTGCAGGCAACATGGCAGACTGCTGAATGAAAACTCAGGTATATGCAGGGGCCAAGTATGTCAAAAGCTCAGAGACCTTTCTCAAAGCTTCTTCTTATATACTGGAAAATGACTATATCTCTAAGGCTTATATCCATCTGCTCACAGTAGAATCCACCATGCAGTTGATTACCAGTCTCATCATGGGAAATTACTACATCCAGTTGCCCAGCCACTCAAAACCAGGCCCAGCCAAATTGACACAGAACCTTTCCTATCACACTTGTCATCTTACCTAAATAAGAGCATATAGTATCTGTCCTTTTGTAATTGACTTATTTCATTCAGCATAATGTTGCCAAGGTTCATCCATGCTGGAGGATGTATTAGTATTTTTTTTTTTTTTTTCTGGCTTAGTAGTGTTCCATTGAATGGTTGTGGAACATTTTGCTTATCTATTTGTTTGTTGATGGATGTTTCCACCATTTGGCTATTGTAAATA